TTAAAGAAAAAAACTTTCAACCCAGAATTTTACATCCAGCCAAACTAAGCTTCATAAGCGAAGGAAAAATAAAATCTTTTGTGAACAAGCAAGCACTCAGAGATTTCATCACCACCAGGCCTGCTTTACAAGAGCTTTTGAAAGAACCACTACAAATAGAAAGGAACAACTAGTATCAGCCTTTCTAAAAAATACCAAAAAATAAAGAACATCAACATATTTAAGAAATTGCATTAACTAACGGGCAAAACAGCCAGCTAACATTAAATGACAGTATCAAACACACATATATTGTTATTAATTTTAAATTTAAATCGACTAAATCCCCCAATCCAAAGACACAGACAGGCAAAAAAAGCCAAGACCCATTGGTATGCTACATCCAGATCCATCTCACATGCAAGGATACATAAAGACTCAAAACAAAGGGATGGTGAAAAATTTACCAACCAAATGGAGAGCTAAAATAAATAAATAGAAAGCAGGAGTTGCAATTTTTGCTGATAAAATAGATTTCAAAGCAATAAAGATCAAAAGAAGCAAAGAAGGATATTACATAAAGATAAAAGGATCAATGTAACAAGAAGAGCTAAAGATCCTAAACATATATGCACCCAATACAGAAATACCCAGATATATAAGACTTACAAAGAGACTTGGACCCCCACACAATAATAGCGGGAGACTTCAACATCAATATTAGATAGATCAATGAGACAGAATGTTAACATCGATATCCAGGACTTGAACTCAGATCTAGAACAAGTAGACTTAATTAACATTCATAGAACTCTCCACTTTAAATACACAAAATATACACTCTTATCAGTACTACATCACACGTATTTACAGGTTTAAATGAAATATTGGTTGGCTGCTTGTTAATTATTTTATTCCCTCATTTTTTTTTATGTCTCTATTATTAAACACAATTACAGGCATACCCAGTTTTAGACTGCATTCTAGCCCGGGCAATAAAGCAACACCCCTGTTCTCTCTCCCTCTTCCTCTTCCTCTTTCTTCCTTTCCTGTATTCTTTTTCTTTTTTTTTTTTTAATTCTTTTTTTTCCTTTCAAAAAAAAAAAAAAAAAAAAAAAATGAGTTCCCTAAGTCCCTAATTCATAGGTTCTTTTAAAAGGAAATTAAAAATTATAATGCAAAAGGACTAGGACATTCTGTTTTCACTACCCATTTAAAGCACAGTGTAGGTACATCTATCTAATTTGCAGACAAAAATAAATGAAAAATAATTGCATCTCACACTTGCATTTATTTAAATTGTAGCTCTAGCTTGATGCCCAGCTCCTGAACCAGACCTGTTAATAGCTCTGTGAAGACAATTACCATCCCTGATTATCTTGTATCCCCCAGCCTAGGTAATACTACCTCGTACAGATTGGTTCTCAATAACTACCTAAATAAATGTGCTTCTTGAAATACAAAATCTCACCAGCCTTGCCAACATTGCAAAACCCCGCCTCCACTAAAAATATGAAAAAATCAGCCAGGTGTGGTGGTGAACGCCTGTAATCCCAGCTACTCGGGAGGCTGAAGGAGCAGGATCTCCTGAACCTAGGAGACGGCGGTTGCAGTGAGCTGAGATTGCACCACTGCACTCCAGTCTGGGCAACAGAGTAAGACTCTGTCTCAAAAAAGAAAAATACAAAACCCCATCATGGTTATTTTTCAGATGGCTTTGAAATTTTATTTTGTACAAAAGAGTATTTGACACACGGAGACAAAGCAGAGAGATCCTTAGAAGTCATCTAATAACACCCCCATTCTCCAGACACCTCCAAAGATAACATTTGCAAGGAGGATACACTGTCTACATCCTTTATAGGCTTCTTGAGGTATCTTTGAAGACAGAAGTAACAAAATTCAATCTTAATAATATTCACAAAGAGGAAGAAGGTGCAGTGTTTCACAGCACCTGTCCATGCAACCATGCATGGGGCCCAGGTAGATTCCCCAGTTCCCCCAAGCAAGAAGCAGGTCTCAATTCATTCCTTCATTCAACAGACTTTTTTTTCTGTTTTTTTTTTTGGTAGAGTCTGTCTCCAGTCTGTTGTGCAGTGGCACAATTCCGGCTCACTGCAACCTCCACCCTGTGGGTTCAAGCAATTCTCATGCCTCAGCTTCCCAAGTAGCTGGGACTATACAGGCATGTATCAACCATGCCCAGCTAATTTTTGTATTTTTAGTAGAGAGGGGCTTTCGCCATGTTGGCCAGGCTCGTCTCCAGCTTCTGATCTGAAGTGATCTGCCTGCCTTGGCCTCCCAAAGTGCCAGTACTATAAGCATGAGCCACCGTGCCCAGCCTCAAGACATTTTTGAAGGTCTGCTGTGTACCAAACACTATTCTAGGTACTTGGGATACATTAGTGAACAAAAGAAAGATCACGGTGTACACCTACATTTTAGGCAATAGTTAAGTGGCATCTAATAAAATAGAAGAGTATCTGTACATTTTAATAGACTACATAGAGCATAACAGTCTAGGTACAGAATTGATAGTACCTTGGATATCCTTAAGCTAATGGTTCTCAAACTTGGGTATGCTTCAGTACTACCTACAGCACTTTTTAAAACTCAGAATGCTGGGCCCCGTCCTCTACCATTAAAAAAAAACTCAGAATGCTGGGCCCCATCCTCTAACATTAAAGCTAGAGGGTATGTTCCCTATTTGGAAAACATCTTTCATACATCTAAATGCCAATGTTTTCCTTAAAGAATTTTTAATCATGAAGGTCAGGTTTAGTCTCAAAGGAACTCTTTTTTAGGTCTATGAAATAGAAGTATACACAGTATATATAAATAACAGTGACTGGATTAGTAATAATTCTACAATATTTCTTGTGCTAACTGTATTTTCTAGAATTTTTACAATAACCATGAATTCCTATTGAAATAAGAGAACAAAAATGTTATTTTAGAAATTAGTTATGATTATTAAAAAGACCTTCAATTAGAAAACTATTTTAAAAATCATCAGTTAATATACTGCATAAATTAATACTGAATGATTTTTTCCCTAGTATATAATTCAAATAACTTATTTTAGCATTTCAGTTTAAACCTGTTTGGATTAAGGATTAATATCTGTGAAGGAAAAAAAAATCTGATTTAACAAAGAAAATAATAAAAACAAAGCTACAATCATTTCAATAACTGCATAAAAATCACATTTACCATTATTCTACCTGGCAATTACTTATGTCTATACTTTTACTTTTCAATAAATGAATGCAAGTTATTCTAATTACTGCAAATGAAGAAATTAAAGCCTGGCTCAATGGTTCACACCTATAATCCCAGCACTTTGGGAGGCCGAGGCGAGTGGATCATGAGGTCAAGAGATGGAGATCATCCTGGCCAACTTGGTGAAATCCCGTCTCTACTGAAAATACAAAAAACTAGCTGGGTGTGGTGGCGGACGCTTGTAGTCCCAGCTACTTGGGAGGCTAAGGCAAGAGAATCGCTTGAAACCGGGAGGCGGAGGTTGCAGTAAGCCGAGATCGCACCACTGCATTCCAGCCTGGCCATAGGGCAAGACCCCAACTCGAAAAAAAACGTAAAAATGGTTTATGTTTTTTGAAAGACAAATTTAAAATGTCTAAGTTTTGGGAAACTTAGGGCACATCCTTGATGTATGCATAATCATATGGTAATATCCCTGGGAATACCAAGGTAAGACACCACCCCAAACCTGTCCCATATTAACCACCTTCAAGGATATCCCAATCTAAGAAATATGCCGTTATTAATAAAGTCCACGTTCCAGAGATGGGACTAGAATTTAAAACATAATCAGCTAGACAACGGTGACTGAAACAAAATCAACTAGGTTAGGAAATCAACTGTCTTTAAAATGACAGATTTACTCTCTTACCATTCAACAAAAATTCCAGAACATCTCTTGAAATGCAGGCTGTTTTAGTACAAGTCATTTTTAAGGGGGGCGGGAAGGAAGTACCTGTATGTGTTACATATAATTTATAGCCAATTTTCTCAAAGTTAGTCCCTAAAACCATAACTCCATATACTATCTATACTGAAGACTTCCTAGATGCCCACAATATACCAAACTACTTTATAGTTTACTTGTATCTTCCCACTTAATCTCCTAACGGCCGTATAAGGTACCTACTACTACAATAACCATTTCACAGATGAAAAAACTTAAATGCAAAGTGATTACTTTGCCCGAGGTCACACAGGTAAGAAGTTAAGGATCCTGGATACACAGATATCCAAGCTATAACACTTAAACTGAGGCGCTTAATCATTATCTTGATCATGGTTTTGCTGTTCGAATTATAAATTTTTCACATTTCAGGCAATATGAACTAAGTTTTCTTGCCAGTAATATTTGAACTAATATAAAAAAGATGAAAACTGGGGAATTAATACAGGTACTTTAACAAATCTTTGTCACTCTAAAATCACACACCATCTGCAGTGTTACACTTTGAGCACAGAAGGCTGAGAACTTTTGCACCAGCACGGCCGCAGGGATACAGTTAAAATTACGGAAATACTGCATTAACTTACAGTTAAAATTATCTACGGAAATACTGCATTAACTTACACGGGTATTGTATTAAAAGGAGGAGAAGGAAGGTTTTTATCTGGTTTTACCTGCTTGGGGTTTGTTTGTTGGGGGTTTTGTTTTTTAGGTTGTTGGGTTTTTCTTCCAACCAGGGAGGTAGAGTGAACCAACAGATTGGAAGGTGATAACCTAATCCTTCCCTACTCCTTCCACATACAAGAGCAAAGCTTGGGTGCAAAGGCCGGCGGCGCGAAAGTGCCCAAGAGTTACGCCTCGCGGGTTCGGCCTTTGCTTGGAGTGGGTGCGGACCCGACGCCACTGCTTCCCGCCCCGGCGAGAACCCCTCGGGGACCCACGGCCAAGGCACTGGGAGGCGGCGGGTCCCGCGCTAGTCCCTGGGGCGCGGGACACGAGGAAGAGGGGATGGGAAGCCCCGCAGCCCTCTTACCGAGCTCGGTGCCCCGATTGTGCGCAGACATGGCGCGGGCCGCTCCGCAGCTGCCAGCTAGTGGGCGCCCGCCTCTGCGCGGCGCCGGGCCCTTCCGCCTTCCCGCCCGCCCGCGCGCTCGCCCCGCCCCTGCCCGCTCCAGGGGTGGAGTCGCGGGCCTGGGCCACGCGGTCAGGACACTTGGACTGCTGCTCCGCGAGGAAATCTCGCCGCTCCCCTGCCCTGTCTTCTCCAAGAGATGCGGAACGGGAGCGCTACCTAGCTCCCGGAAATAATGCTACCAACACCCTTTTAAAAATACTGAAATTGCCAATTGAAACGTAATAAAAAGCATTCCTAGAAACTTTTAACTGTAAGATTACATAACGAGGGAGGGGATCCAACTGCAGAGCTCTGCAACTTCAAATCTGAAATGTCAGCAGTGATCCCGTATCTTTGTTAGGGAAACCAAGGAGCAATCACGGGCCCCAGGGCACAGTGACTTCTAATCTACACGTCATGAAAAGCAGCCGTTGTGTGGCCTGGAGAACGAAGGGCTTAGAAGTCAGTGGACCTGGTTTCTTAGCCTAGCTCCAGCAATAATTAAATGTGTGACACTGGGCAAATGAACTGCTTTTCTGAGCTTCATTTTTCTCATCTATAAAAGATGACCTTGATAATTTCTTGATTCTTTAAAATTCTATGATCCTATAATGGTAAAATTCTTCAGCCTGATTTCTCTGTGACCAAGAAATTAAAATCCTCGAGTCACTCCACAGCCTCAGTATAGTTAACTTACCTGTACTCACATTTAGAGGCACCTCTGCATGAAAGCAGAGTACAGTTAGTTTTGACTTGTCTACCATGAGCCAGTGAGTGTGCTAGATGCTTTCATACATCGTACATCGATGTATGATAGCATTTGAGTCTCTGAACAATCCTGCCAAGAATGTATTTTATCTCCATTGCTATACCTTTAGACATCAAAGTTCTGAATAGAAAGGCATCCTGGTATAGTGGAAATACAGTGGGCTCCAAATAAGCTGAACCCATTAACATACCAGCTCTTCCATTTAATACTGTAACCTGGTGGTTCTGGAAATAATAGTCTGCCTACTTACCTGTAAAATGGAGATGATCAAAATATGTTCACCTTGCAAAGCTGTTGAATATATGCAAGGCACCTAGTACATACCATGGCATACAGCAGATGCTTAAAAAATGGAAGCTGTTAATGTTATTGTCAGGTTCACTCAGTAATTACTGAGCTGTTTTAAATAGGCATAGTAATCTTTATATACTCCTCTACACCGAGCTTTCAGCCTTGTCCACACACAGCCACTGTTGAATGTTTCAAATGTGTCTAGATCCTATTCATACATACTATAGCACTTACCTTTTTTATGTATTTATGTGTGTATGTGTGTATTTATTTATTTTGAGATGGAGTTTCACTCTTGTTACCCAGGCTGGAGTGCAATGGCGCGATCTTGGCTCACCGCAACCTCCGCCTCCTGGGTTCAGTAAATTCTCCTGCCTCAACCTCCTGAGTAGCTGGGATTACAGGCACGCGCCACCATGCCCAGCTAATGTTTTGTATTTTTAGTAGAGACGGGGTTTCACCATGTTGACCAGGATGGTCTCGATCTCTTGACCTAGTGATCCACCCGCCTGGGCCTCCCAAAGTGCTGGGATTACAGGCTTGAGCCACCGCGCCCGGCAGGCTATTTATTTTTTGAGGCACGGTTTTGCTCTCATCACCCAGGCTGAAGTGCAGTGGAGTGATCTCGGCTCACCACAACCTCTGCCTCCCGGGCTGCAGCAATTCTCCTGTCTCAGCCTCCCAAGTAGCTGGTATTACAGGCACGCACTGCCACACCTGGCTTTTTTTTGTTGTTGTTTGTATTTTTTTAGTAGACACGGGGTTTCTCCATGTTGGTCAGGCTGATCTCGAACTCCCAACCTCAGGTGATCCACCCATCTTGGCCTCCCAAAGTTCTGGGAATATAGGCGTGAGCCACAGCACCCAGCTTAACACTTACCTTTTTCATATTAACCTTGAAAAACAGAAAAGCAGGCAATGAAAGCCTGGAGCTGGCCTGAAACTCATAACTGGACCATGGTTTTCCCTGGTTAAACATATACAGTTTCACAGAACATCAGCCAAGGCCATTGTGAGCATAATGAATCAACAAAAACAGGACTATTCATAATCATGTCTGATAATAGAAAACCATGAATATTGTCCAAATAGCCCCTATCCTAGCTAGTATGACTTCTTTACCAATCAGTTCTAGTTTTGCTCCATTTCTCTGTTTTAGATAAGAATTAAGATACCTATTATAGAATTATCACCAGTTCCTACCATCATCCAGTCCAGATCAAGGTCTTTCTTTCCTTGAACTTTCCCAAATCACCTACGATAGGCCCAAATCCTATGTTGCTTCTAACACCCTCTTACTGAGATACCTCACATTAGGTCCCCATGGCAAGCATTCTCCCTTGTTACAGTAAGTCAATAAACCCAACGTTGTCCACTTGTAGGTGTGTTACTGGTGGCCTCTGGCTGGAGAGCATTGACAACTCTAGAAGATACAAAGGCAATAAATGAAATTCTATTTTTAAAAGTAGACACAACTCCAAAACAGAGTCCATGCCATTCATTACGTAAGTGTATCGGTTTCTTTTTTAAGTTGTGATATCCTAACTTAGATGAAATATCAGAATTAGGGCAGCCTCTTAAAGCAAATGTTTTAGCAATATATCGGTCAAGAATTTCTCAAGGACTTTTTCTAAAATAGACCTGTTGAATGTATTAATCTCAAATTAATCTCTGCAGTTTAAAAGTATGTTAATTTGGCAATAGTAGGAGAGACGACAGGGACAGTATGCAAAAAATGAGTTTATTTCACAGAGAAATGTTCCTATATTTCACTTTGTGAAGATTTCTTTTAAATTTATTGCCTTCTGAAACTAATGAAGTATCCCTAAGGCAAGTCCTCTCAAAGAAAGATCTATAGACCACAACCTGGGAATCACCGAAGAGCTTTTTCTAAAGCAGATCTGGACTTCCTCATAGTCCTACTGAATCAGAATCTCTAGGACCTTGGCATCTGTAATTTTAATGTTTCTTCAAAAGATGTTTATTCAAAATAAATGTAAAGAACCACAAAGGAGGAGCAGAGGAAAGTAAACTATGCATGCCAATCTGGAGCCATAGCCCAAACTGACTCTTGTAAGAGTAAAATTGCTTTTAAAGTATTACATGTTATATTTTTTAAACCATGTAAATTTTGCACGCTATTCCTATTCATTGATGTTTTTCACTGTAAATTTTAAATTGCCAAATAAATTACCTAATTGTCTTTCCACCCTCACTTCTCCTTTAATTAAAGCTCTATGAATAGGTAGTATTTATCTTGAAGCTTCTAAGAACCTACCAGTCCTGGGAGATAGGAGTCAAACAAATTTCAAGTTCCAAAGGGCATAGATCATTTGCGTTTGGTTCATCATATGTAGGGTCTAGTATAGTAGTTGGCACATAGACTATAAATATTTGTTAGATGAATGAGTGTATATTGCTGTCTTTGCTACATCTCTTATACTGCCTATTGTTTTATCCAGTCAAATTTCATGTGATATAGTCTGTACTCCTATGATTTCTAAGAACAATTATTCACAAGTTCATTAGGTAAATAACCACTTAGACCAAGAACTGTCAGCCAGTATTTCTAGGTCAGATGGAGAAAAGTGTAGGAGCAGGGAGGACTATAAAGAATGTGAATATTTGAGTCAAAATATTTTAGAACTAGAGGGAGACTAATAGAACATCCAATTCGTAGTTCATGGTAAAATTTAAAAAAAAAAGAATTATACTGGAATCTTTTATGAAGCTAAATCTATTCAATTTAAAGAAGTCCTTCATTCTCAAACTATGTTGTTAACTACCAATTTGAATTTTAAAATGTCCTTTTATAACAATTTTGGTGATAATTATTTTTTTCTTTTTTAATAGCCTCAGTTGGCAAGAAGCCAACCATTTCATCTCCTCTCCCCCATTTCAAAATCTATTGGCCACAAAATCTTAACGTTTGGGAATGACTGATAGAATATATAATACTAGCTACTATTAAGTGCTTCCTATGAATTAAGCCCTTTCCATAAATTATTTTCATATTTGTAAGATTTTTCCTGAAAAAATCTGTGAGAACTCTTTTCTCCCTGTACAGATAAAGAAACTGAATCTAAGAGAGATTCGTCTGTAAGTGCTAGAAGACTGCTTAAAACCTGGCAATATATAATCACATACTATTCCCTTCTCTCTTGGAAGCTAAACTTATTAGATAGACAATAAAACATCTCTGAAATTCAGGTTTCCCATACATGTAACAGAGATAATTACCTATCTTATTGGATTACTGGGAGAGATTAAAAGGTGGCACATATTTTAACATTAAAACCTAACATAAGGCACTTATATCATTTTCATACTCATCCTTAAACTAAAATCAATTACTTTCAACTTGCCCACATTCTATTCTCTCATTAAAGTACTATTATCGTTCATTAGCTATCATTTAGATGCATACTTAGGCCTTGTTTCCAAAGGTAAGTTTGTTAGATGCCTCCCAGAACTCTACTGATACAAAGTCGCCTCAGCCGAAGTAAGTGACACTATGGCACACTTGCAATTAAGCATTCGTATATTAAATACATAACCAAAGAAAAGCTAAACCCCACTTATCTGCGAATGGTCTTGCTTTAAGAATGTTTTGATGGGTATCGCCCCAGTGTAGCACAGACATGCACAGTAACACACAGTAACCTAATAGGAACTGCTTCTTAAGGTATTAATCCCCTAGGTGTAAAGCATAAGCAATGTACCTAGCAAAGAAATATTTTCAATTGGTCTTTTTCAATGCCTCATTTTGCTGTTGCTCCCTTATGAAAAACTGTATCCATTTCCCCCAACCTTGGTCTCAAAGAAAAGGCAGCTAAATACTTCCATGGAATTTGAGCAACTACTGAAAGATGTAATCTGTAATTTGTTATAAATTATGGTCCATCTTTACTATGCTATTTTATAAACATTAAAAACAATGTGTTTAACTTTGCTGACATGAAAAATATTCTTAAGAGAATTGAATGACCACGCTCAATCCTGGCTTCCTGGAAGAAACCTCTGGATAACACTAAAATAGAGAAGCAACTGATTCATAAAAAGGTAAATTAGTAATATTAGGTGGGAACTTGG